AGAAATAAACCGCAACAAAAAAACTATAAATACATCGATCTTAGATTGCACACCAGTAGCCAAGGAGGCCAATGTAAATGTGCAAAGAAAGAAAACCTTAGTGTCTTATTACCACAAGAAGAGAGGAAATCCCATCGATCTACACATTTCCGACACAAGCAGCGATGAGCTCCATAAAATTATTAAATATAAGGGGTACAAGCCGTTAGCAGTATCCATCACAGCCAAATCTCCATCGCAAGCTAAGCCATCGAACATGATTGATGTTCCTAACCGTTTTACTCGATCATCACCATCCCCAGCATCATTTCGTGCTGCCTGCAAAAGTTTTAAGCAAACATTATTAGAAATAAACCGCAACAAAAAAACTATAAATACATCGATCTTAGATTGCACACCAGTAGCCAAGGAGGCCAATGTAAATGTGCAAAGAAAGAAAACCTTAGTGTCTTATTACCACAAGAAGAGAGGAAATCCCATCGATCTACACATTTCCGACACAAGCAGCGATGAGCTCCATAAAATTATTAAATATAAGGGGTACAAGCCGTTAGCAGTATCCATCACAGCCAAATCTCCATCGCAAGCTAAGCCATCGAACATGTTTGATGCTTCTAACTGTTCTACTCCATCATCATCAATATCCCATCAAGATAAGTTAGAGGAGGAGAATCGCAATAAACTATCAAATCTAAAGAGATACTATAGTGAGCCCAAGCCTTTAAGATTAATGCAACACAATAGGTATCGGTCGTTATCGGTCTCCATTACATCTCAATCTCAACCTAAGCCGACGCATGATGTATCCAACTGCTCCACTGAATCACCCATAGTCTCGCATAGCTTTGGCGAAACAGTAATACCATCAAAGCCTAATCAAGAAACTATGAATAAATCACTCTTGGATTGCACGCCAAGCACTTCTTTAGAGACAAATTTAGGGAGGATGGTAGAGATGCAGAAAACGTCACCAAAACATGTTCAAAAGAAACAACGTTGCATTAAAGGTGGATATCTATATGAATTCGAGAGGCTGATGCTGACGGAGCGCATGGATCGTCGCAGCATGGCTCAAAATCAGCGTCTAGGCATAAGCTCAGGACAACGCGTGCAAGTGCTGCGCATATCCGAATCCTTTGGTGTGAAAATGGCACAAGTAAAGCCAGAATATGGTGAACAGGATAAGGAAAAATTTAACATTATAATCCCACCTATCATGGCAGCAAATATTAGAGTGGGCGCTACTCTTGAGCTTTACTTTGATTTGAAACCAGAGACAGCATTGAAACTTCCTAATAACGAGCTGGTTTACGTACATCCAAATAAATTAGTTTTATTATAAGTACACACAATTAAGACTAATAATATTTTCAAAATATATTGCAACACAATTACGTGCTCCTAGCGTCGCTTTTTCTTCTCTAGCTTCCGTATTTTGTGTAAACGACGAGCCGTATTGCCGCTGCCTTGCGCTGGCTCATCGATGAGGCGTGCCTCTTCCTCAATTGTGTCCTGTGACTCGTTGCCACTCATTACCACCGCAGCGGATATGCAAACGAATTGAAATATGGCTCCCACAAAGAGCCCATAGCGTACTAGCACAGAAAAGAAGTCGTCTTCGCCATATTTGTCCAGAGAAGCTGCAGTTACTCCAATATTGTCAGCAGACATTTTTTGTTTGCAAAATCTTGTTTGTGTATACGGTGCACAGGGTGTTTGCAGCTGCGTGGCTACTGCCATAAATATAAGAAGAAGCAAATATTTCCCAAAGACTGCACAATCAATAAGTTTTAAATATCAGGGTCTATCTTTTTTTTATATAGTTGCCTCCTTTAATCATCCAATATTATCACAATTTGTTGTATGTGGGAACTATTTGTAAAAGCTTTGTTTTTATTGTTTATGGTTTTTTTTATGGCATGTGGTCCACAGGGTGATGAAGAAAGAACAGCTGACTTGACTGTCATAAATAGAAAAAGAAGCGAGAATTTTTCTGCGGATGCGGTTGATGACTTCCATCGATTTTTGCATAATTCGGTTTTATTATTTAAGTATTTAGGAGATATCATAATTATGTTGAGTTTTCGCTTACTAACCGCACTTGGCTCCACTCGTTCGCAATCTCTTAACAGTCAAAATCTACGATTTGTAGTCAATAAATCAAATGAATTTACAATTGCCCGCCGCAGTTTTTCGAAGACCTTAAAGGACGTGGAAAGTGGAAGTGCAACTAAAAAGTCACCGAATGGCACGTTTAAGTTGACGTTGTTAGGTGCATGCATTGGCGCTGTCGCTGGATCTACATATACGCTGTACACACGAATATGTGATAAGAATTCGCACAAAGAGCACGAGCGAACGCCGCCGAAAGTCATAGAATACTTCCCAGCGGACGTGCGCATCACAAAGCGTTTCACAAATCCCAACGATACTTCCGGCCTAGATATAGTGCTATTTCAATATCAGACATGTCCATTCTGTTGTAAAGTGCGTGCGTATCTGGATTACATGGGTATCTCCTATTCTGTTGTGGAAGTGGATGCGGTGCTTCGACAGGATATCCGATGGTCAGATGTTAAGAAGGTGCCAATGGTATTGATTCGCCAGCAGGATGGAAAATATGTTCAGATGACGGACTCCAGTGCCATTATTTCCCTTGTCGCTTCCAGCCTCCACGACAAGCGCATCGACGTGGGTGAGCTTGCTCAATTCTATCCACAGATTTCCTACTTCGATGATAATGGCAAAAAGCGTCAAGATATATTGAACAAATACTTTCTAATGTACCAGGATCGCACACCCAAAAATATGACTAGAGAAATCGAAGAGTGAGTATTTATTCGCGTCTCCCGATCAGTCTATTATCAATAGTGATCTTTTTGCAGAACCGAACGCAAGTGGCGAACCTGGGCAGATAATCATCTAGTACATCTTATATCACCCAATTGCTATCAGACTTTTGAAGAAGCACTGGAGACTTTTGAGTGGTTTGCATTGGCCGGCGAATGGGATATCCATTTTCCTAAATGGGAGCGTGACTTAATGGTTTATTGCGGAGCGACAGCAATGTGGGTAATAGCTAAGATATTGAAGCGACGACATCAGCTCACCGATGATGTCCGCTCTCATATGTATGATGCCCTAAACAAGTGGACGGCGGAACTTAAAAAGCAAAACACTAAGTTTATGGGCGGTAAAAAGCCGGGGCTTGCGGATCTTTCAGTGTTTGGCGTGCTTAGCAGCATGGAAGGTTGCCAAACATTCAAGGACTGCTTGCAAAATACAAACATTGGTAAAAAAGCTCTTTAAACGATATAACAAAATTTTGATACAAATTTATTTCATCCCAGGTAAATGGTTTTACGATGTCAAGGAACTAGTTCAGCAGAATCGAGGTAAATTGCTTAGGGAGCGCATAGTTGGTGTGCCAGCATTAGCACAGTAAAAATTATTATGTAAAGCAATTACGCCCAAAGATTAAAAATTGTTGAAATAAAAACCACATTTTATTATTAATTCGAATGGAAGAAATATCGATATATTAGCTACACACCGCGTTGTTTATCGATAGCTCGATTTGCCTTGAACATCTCTAAGTGTGTGAAACGCCGCTAGACGGAAACTTGCAAATCATTTCGGGTTGCTTTCGTCTTGGAAATTTAATAAAAACCAAAAAGAAAAAAAAAATGAATAGTTTTGGCATAGAACAATTCCCTGATTATAAAGTGCCCGGAGTGCAGCACGTGGATTTTTCTCCCTACGAGTCCAATGGCGGGTGAGTGCTCAAAATACATAATTGGTCTAGACACCAGTAACATAAAATATACTTTTTAATTGGCAGTTCTATTGTTGCCATAGCCGGAGATGACTTCGTTGTTATTGCCGCAGATACACGTCTAAGCAGTGGGTATAGCATCCACTCTCGTGAGCAGAGCAAACTTTTCGAAATGTCACCAAAAACAGTTTTGGGCTCCACTGGCTGCTGGTGCGATACCCTTTCTCTGACGGGTCTGGTTAAAGTGCGCATGCAAATGTATGAGCACACTCACATGAAGACAATGACGACTGATGCAGTGGCGCAAATGCTTTCCATTGTCATGTATAACCGTCGCTTCTTCCCTTACTATGTGTCGAATATCTTAGCTGGTCTGGACAAAGATGGTAAGGGCGCTGTCTATTCTTATGATCCCATTGGCCACTGTGAGCGTGCGACTTATCGTGCCGGCGGCTCTGCTGGAGCCTTGCTGCAGCCAGTGCTAGATAACCAGATCGGATATAAGAACCAAAACTTGTCCCTTGATCAGCTGCCACCACTTACTAAGGAACGTGCGGTTGCAGTTGCTTCTGATACATTCATCTCGGCCGCTGAACGTGATATATATACTGGTGACTCGGTGCTGATAAACATCATTACTGCGGATGGCATTGAGAAACGAGAGCTTCAATTGCGCAAGGATTAAGAACATTAAGGTCAAGGATAACAAGATATAAACTGCATTCACATATTACGTTCGACTTAAATTTGTTGTAACTCTATAAATAAAACTAAAGTCTACAATAGCACCCTTGTTCTTAATGCTTTGCACAAAAGCGAAACATAAACATGAACATATATGAACCAAAGCTGTGTTTAACCAATAGTTAGCGGTTTAACAGTGTATACAATATAGTACAGTACATATATATGTTACACAGCTTTAAATTTGCAATGAATTTTGATTACAACTTACATATGTTGTCGTCAAATGTGTACGGGTATGTGGGACTTCAGTCAGAAAAATGTAAACTTTGCAGCTGTATATATATTTTTTAAAATTTATTTATATATCAATTTTTTTATTGTACCTGACAACCCTGAAAATTTGTATTCAGTTTCCTTGGAGTGTGCGTACGCTGAGACCAATGACCAGCAGATTGCGTTTATTTATAGCAATATCAATTTTTCTACGATTCTCACACATCCTTGCTAATAAGGGTATGCTGGCGTCCATTGTGAAACCTGGTACATTTCGACACATCATGTGTCGGAACAATGTATACCCACGCAGTAATGTAACGCGTTTCTCAGTGCCGGACGATTTAGTTTTTTGGAATGTTCCTTATGAATCTTATTGCCCGACCTGCTATACTGCGCCGCACATTAATGGCCAGACATGGGCAGATGAACCGTTGCCATTCGAAGTCAAATGGAATCAGAATGATGGCCTGGTAAATCGAGTCTCATTCCACGGGGAATACAAGATAAAAAATGGGCTGCCGCAAAATCCGATTGGCCGGACAGGATTGTGTGGGCGTGGCTTATTAGGACGCTGGGGTCCTAATCATGCGGCCGATCCAATAGTCACGCGCTGGAAACGTGATGAAAATGGTGAGGTTGTGAGTCATGAAAATAGCGGCAAGTAAGTACAAGTGAAGAATGGTCGACGGAAACATTGCTAAGCTGTTCTCGTACGTTTTATACAGAAACATACTCCAGATGGTTGCCATTCAGCGCTCAGACAATAAAATGTGGGCAATTCCTGGCGGCATGGTTGATCCGGGAGAGAATGTGAGCGTCACACTGAAACGCGAGTTCACCGAAGAGGCGCTTAATTTCGATGATAAAGGCAACATGGTCGAGCAGTTCTTCAAGCAGAATGGGGAGCATGTCTACAGCGGCTATGTTGATGACTTTCGCAATACGGACAATTCGTGGATGGAGACAACAGCACTCAACTTCCACGACGACGACGGTAGCAAAGTTGGCCAGCTGCAACTGCAAGCTGGTGACGATGCCACAAATGTGCGCTGGACAGATATTAGTGGGGACATAAAATTACACGCCAACCATGCAGATATTGTAAGAGAGGTGGCTGTCAAGCGGAATGCGCATTGGTAGCGTGTTCGTTTGCTTGAATATCGAATTTTGCACTTATTAATTTAATAATAATTTATAAATTATTGAATTGAAAGCCTTTAAGATAATATGGTTATAGTTTGTATATTTATTTCAGACTATTCACTATTTATACATTTACGCATTTGCGTTTTTACAATTTGAAAAAAGCTGCATATTTTGTTAGGAAACCATTTTAATATATATAATTTGTTTTCGTTGAGTGCATTCATCAAATTCCATGTCTACTCCTCGTGGTAACCTAATTAGCTAAATAATGTAAATAAAACTTCAGTGCTCGTGTGTGTGTGCCTGCTTGACGGCACATGTAGTGGATAAATTTGCTCTTGTGTGCGTCTAAAGAGATTGAAGGAAATTATAGGCCTCTTGACTGGAATTGGCCACGTTATTGAATTGGTCCGGATACTGCTCGCGTATTTCCAAAATTAAAGCACGTGAGCTCATTTTGATTTCTCCTTCAGGAATTTGATCCTTGTATAATACATCTATGGTGATTTTAAGGATCTGCTCAATGTATTCGACGATAGCGGGTCGTGCTTGCATGTATATCACACGGAATGCCTTGTGCACCATATCATTCTCATCGAAATCCTCGCGAAGTGGCAAATGCGAGAGTAAAACGGGCAACACTTGCGCCAATGGAACAATATTGTGATTGGTGACGATCATACGGGAAACGGCGCCGCATATATTATCGAGAGCCGGAGCATTTGTCTCGGAAGCAATGGCTCCAGAAAGAGCTTGTAAAATTACATGGAAGGATCTAAATAAAAAAAAAAATGATTGAGTCCAATATCTAAATACATATCTATAACCATGTAACTCACTCAAAGGACTTCTCTTCGGCGTGCAAAACAAGCTCGCCTAGGCCGAAATAACAATTCTGACGAGCTTTTGGCTCCGGATCATTTACGCCATCTACAAAAATGGGACACAGCGTATCGAAATAGGTGGCCACACAGACACCCAGCGATTGAAAGGAGTCAGCCAACGCACCATAAACAAAGATGCGCTGTTCACTCAAATCATTTCTCTTAGCTTTGTTCTGAAAGGCAAGCAATATGTTAAATGAATCATTTTTAAATACATACATTTTAAAATATCTGACGAACCAGTTTGTTTAAGTAGTACTGATAGACGCGCCCAAAGTACATAGAGAATATTTCAGGACTTAAAGCTTTTCCAAAAGAAGGTAAAAGATTACCCGCGTTCTCAATAAGCAGCTCATCAAATTCGCTGTCTTCAGCTTCGTCTTCATCCCCACCACCGGATGGCTCATTGAACTGGCAAGCCATTTTATTTTTTAGAACATCCCTGATGCAGGCAAATATCATGTCGCCGATTTCCTGAGTGGGTACCGCAGCGCTCTTTACCTCAACGAATAAATCGCTTAGCAAGTCGAGCAAATGAATGACGACGCCCTGATCCTCATCTTCACGGATTATATGTGCAAATTTTGGCATAATTATTAAGCAAGCGCGTTTGACACCCTCGGTATCACCCATTTTGTAGAGTGACGAGACAAAGGCGATGATGGCTTCAATGGCGGACTTGCGGATGTTGTCCTGTGGATGATCAATCACCTTGTAGACATTCTCAAAAGATGTCTGCAGATAGGGTGCAAAGGCGCTGCCTGTGTTAACAGCAAATTCTTTAAGGGCTAATATAGCCTCCTCCTTTTCAAATACATAATCGTTTTCCACCTGATATCCTTCCTCATCATCATCTTCATCGTCTGTATTCTCCAAATCAATGTCAATATCAGAAGCGGCCGCCTCACCATTGAACAAACGATTACCACCATTCTCATCATTCATGGGAAGCATATCTTCCGTCGATATTACCGATTCAATAAGACGATCAATAATTTTTGGGAACACGGTCGACATACTCTCGTTAACAACGATGGACAGAGCACCAATCAAGTTGTAAATAGCACGTTTAAAATCGGGATCATTTGGCCCATCGTCCAACATCATCAAGCAATAGGCCATTGTATCATTAGCCAGTGGAATAAAATTATCCTTGCCTACGACGCGTGTAATCGAGGCCAAAGTATCAATTGCCTCGTTACGCAACTCTTTCATCTCTTCGGAACATTCCTTAACCAAATAATTTTTCAGTATTTCCACAATTTTTGGAAAATATGGCATCAAGTGCTCCCTGGCAGCCAAAGCCGTTGCTGAAACGGCAGACAGTCCCAGCACACGAAGATGAATCGAATTGTTGGTATCCAGTGTATCGAATAGACTGCAAGTATATAACTATTGCTAAGACATTCAGAAGTATAATAGAATATTTGGTATTTCTTACCGACTCATCAATAGCGGCAAATGTGGCACAATGTCCTCTTCTAGATTCTGGCAGTAGTTTTCCAGAGCATAAAACATACGATCCGTGTGCTTCGGTTCCGGATTGCCACTCTGTAAAATTGTTGGAACAATATATATGACCAATAAGCAAGATTATATAGTCTACTTTACTTGTGCTGCAATAAGTGCTGATTGAGCATGCTTCAAAATTTGTGCTGTCGTTAACCCCTTGTTTTTCATCCCTCAAATACCTCATGCTCCTTTTATTAATAATTATTTATATTTACTTTACTTAAATAAATATAATATTCTTAGAGCACATTTGATATAAAGAATTCAGAACAATGGCAAACTATTTAATTATTTAGCCATACTCAATAAATAAAATAAGAACAACAATTTGCTAACAAAATATTATTCGGTTTTCCGAAAAACAAATACCCTTGCAGATATGTACTTACAAAAAAACTTTCTCAAAAAAAAAAAATAAAATAAAATAAATAAATAAAATGTAACCACACAGACGGTTGAAAAATTTTGTAGATACTGTTATAGATTAGAGAATCTTATCTCTTCTATATTGCAATTAAAATACCCTCTGCAAGGATATATACCATCGCTACCGCAGAAAAAACATTAATACAATAATAAGAAGTGATGTGTGAAAAACAGCTACTCTAAACTTAGCAGGAAAATGGCACCCTGTATTTGGAGAGAACTGATTTGCGTTTGATTTGCAGTTGATTTATATACAGAATGGTGTCTTTGCCGGGCACGGCATTCGACTCGTTGCCACTGCTGATTTGCTCAGCCTTTTTTGATGCAGCACAAACAAAATAAGATAATTATGAAAATAGACATGAAATTGTAGCGTGTAAGCAGTTTACCTTTATCTCAATCACCAGCTGTTGCAGAAAGTCAAATAGTACGGGCAAAATCTGAGGTGCAAATTTCGATATATCCGGTTGCAAATGCTCCGAGAATTGACCCAAAGCAAAGAAGCTAGCAATGCGCACAATGGGCGAGTTGTCGGCAATGCCGCTCTTAACGATATTTAGCATAACTTCTAAATACTTATTGCAAATGGCCTCCGAGCAGCCTTCGGCGATAACAGCGATACAAAGATAAGCGGCACGGCGTCGCAGATGATCAGGACTTTGCAATGCCGGTTCAAGTAATTGCAACAATGGAGGAATCAATTTTTCCGGCGACATATTGATGGCCAGCAAATCGAGTGTTTGGGTGGCTGCTGTCATGGGACTGTTACTGCTCTCGCCAGTAAACAACTCATCTGTTAAATATAACACTTTTTGATACATATATAAGTGTATATTTCTTAAAATCTAATGGATTCTTGCTTACCATCATCTAGATCAGTTTCACAGCACATCATCTCAAAGATGACGGCAATAATGGGTTCAAGTAACTTCTGTTTGACAATTGCCTTCTTCTTTATGCGCACCACGCGTCCAATGAATGTAACCACCTGAACACGTATCGAGTCATCAATTTGCTTATTGTTTGCCGTCTCGAGGCAGAATTCAATTAGGTGCTTCACATTGTTATTAAGCAGCTTTGGCACATACTCGGCAATGCTATCAATGACATCGAATACAATGCAGAACTCCTGCTCATCGCCCTTCTGGGCAAAGGCAAAGACGGTTTTGATGATGAGTGGCAGTATTTTGAGAACCGTCTGTTCAGCGCTTGTATGACCGCTTACAAATGGCATCAGATAACTCATGCCCATGGTTATATTAGCCACAGTGGGCGTGGATAGATTACCTCTTGCCTCGGCGGACATAAGAACAGCGGCAAACATTTGGCAAATTGAGTCCATATGAGAGACAAATTGATCAGGTGCCGCATCGGTGAGCGTGGCAAATATTGAAGAGCCCAGCTCACTCTCCTTAGGATCATCCACATTGCAACGGCTATAGATGAAATTAAGCAGTTCGCCCAACCAAGAGTCCTTTTTCTCCTCTTCGTGACGCACCAATGAACCAATAAATTGAGCTATGGCATTCTTTACAGATTTTTCCTTTTCGGCAATCAATGCTTGAAGCATGCCAGTCTTAATGCTGCAATATGAAGCCATTCAAATCACGATAACCCCCATAATGTTGTGTATTGTCGTTACCTTTCCTTCTGGTCCGCTGGCACCATTTGCCAGTTACGCAGTTTTTGGAGCCGCTTATTTAGCAGCACAGCTGCAAATTGTCTCACTTGCGGCTCACGCTGTGAGACAATGATCTGACACAGTGCATTCAAGGTTTCCGGATTTTCATAAGCCTTGCCCAGCTCACTGGTGGCCTGAAACAAAAATACATTAGATTTCAAGTACATAAGAATTTCCTTAATAATAATATTCACTATAAAATGCCCTTTGAAATTTATAATTCTGCCGCCAAACTGAAGAATAACTAAGTCATCTAAATTCACAGTCATGTCAGTTCTGTTCGGTTTTAAAACATTTGTTGAGCTGACGATATTTTAGTTTGATTTGGATATTAATTTAACGTTTATTTGTGTATGTCTTAGTTATTAAGCTTAAGAATAAGAAGCACAGTATACCAAACCAACATGCCCCGTTTTACTTTTCAAATAGGGTATATAAAAGCTTACATGGTATACAATATATGGCAATATGTGTAGGAATGTGCGTGTATCTGTTTAGTATAGAAATGTGCACATGGTGAGGGCAATTATTGTGCTCATAAAAAAATGTTGAATTTAATGTACATATGTTTATTATACAAACGATATCAATTACGCATATCGAATATTTTAAAAGTTAAATTGAGACACCAGACAAAAGGAAAATGGGCGCGTTTTAAGGCGCCGGTAAGCTTTTTGCCAAGTTAAAGGATTAAAATCCACATGCCGGTCGCTTACCTGACGTATCCGTTCAGTATCTGTACATAATAATCCAGCAATGATTTCATCTAGGACAATATCCATATTTAATGCCGTATATTTTAAATTAATAGGTTTCGCACAGCGATAATTAAAGGAGCACAGCACGTCTTCTATATGCCGCCGGTATTGCAAAAATCAAAGACCTGGTATACCAGGGCAGTAAAGCACGCCAACACCACGTTTTAAAACTGGCAGGGATACAATAATTTAGTTGTAGTGCAATTTTATGTGTTTGATGATTTTCGCATTTAACGAAATTTTTGAATTTGTATATTACATCAAATTTAACCAGCTTGCTCACTTTATAAAATCATATTAAACTTTCAACGTAACATAATTTTGATATGACTTTTGAAATATCGATACGTAAAAAGAATCGCAAAGTGTGCCCAGCTAGTAACATAACAGGAGCGTCGTGAGGCATGAGCACCATTTTGAACGCCAACAACGCGCGTTTTCTTAATACGATTTATTTTTCTGAGTTTTGTGTTTTTTTTTTAGTCGTGCGTTAAATGGATAAAACTGCTAGGAACCATAGCGATGGCAGTCAAAGAGATAATAATTCTTTAGGCATATTAAGTTTGGATAATTTGAAAGGTAAATGTTTAAAGGACTTGGCGTCTCATTTGTATGCATGATTTCCATATCCTGTATCTTACGTACACATTTATAATTAGATTTTGGGGACATGTCCAATTTAAACAAAAGCGGCAGTGCAAATACGAGTAGGGAGTCACTAAATGTTCACGAGCGGCTCAAGGTAAGGTCAATAATATAAATAATAAGCAATAATTAATACCCGCCTTGATTTGTTATAGGCGGGAAGACTAAAGGCTTTGGAGACTTTGGGAAAGCCACGACCCCGCTCAAGTTATGCATTTGAAGAGCACTACAATAACGAAGGAAGCAAGTTTACACGTGAGAAGGAGCTTTTATCAATCTAACTCATATAACATAAATATTATTTTGTAGCCGATAATCGTGTGAGTATTGCGTCCAGCCGCCAAAGCAACAACACAAACATTTCCGATCTAATCACTGAGGAAACAATCGACCTTAATTCGAGTGGCTCCGTTCTGATGACAACGACTGCTCCTACTGGCACAAACATCTTATTTGAGCCTGGCGAGATAACAGGACGTTCGACATTATGCAAAAGCGGAAAAATTGACTCAAAGCCTGGCAAACAAATCTCTGTGGCTGATATACTAAGATCCTCTTTTGTGGAGAAAGCGCGTGTACAATTTGCCAAGCAGCTGGAGAACGTGCCAATTACTGAAAACTCGAGCCATAGCACTTTGAGTGATTCGTTTAGTTGCTCTCGCAGTTTGCCACGCACTGCAGATATGAGCAATTCGAGCCTTAATGGTGGTTCGGGTATATCCTTCGGCTCTGCGGGTCAGGGATATGACGAAAGCTTTGCTCCAGCTGAAATGATGCAGTCACAGCTAGTGATGGGCGAAATATCATGGGCTCAGGAATTTGCCGTTGTCCCAACGGCCACCCTCAGCAAGCAAGCATTGGAAAAGATTGCAGCTCCGACTCCGCCGTCGGAAATCGATAATTTAGTATCCAAGTAAGTTGAAAAAAGTATTGATATAAACTATTTACAAAACAATTTTGTATTTGGCAGCTCTATAATTGCTGGAGATCCAAATTTTTCTTTGGGCAATTACTTTCAAATGCGCTCAGAAAATTTGTCATTCATCGTGGGTCGGTCTAGCCGAGGTGGGAATCCGCAAGTTGAGCAAAATACAACAGTAAGCAGCGCTGGTGTGAAAACGCCACAAGTGGAGAATAAGACTTACACCAAGGTCGAAAGCAACGCAAAGCTCGAACGCAAACTTATGAACAAAATGCAACAGGATGATTTTAATAAGGCCGTGCAGGCGGAAACAAAGAAAGAGCCAAGCAGATCGGAGTTATTTAGCTTGTCCGCAATTGATGCAGCTTTACGTAAGTTTGAGAGAAACAGTGGTTTGTCCTATCTAACGAAATACTTATTTCACAGGCAACCTGGACGTGAATTCAGGTACATCTGTACATGAGGTTGTAAACAGGGTGCGTACACATGGCTATGACTACGATTTTGATGATGAGGACAAAGAGAATACACTCTGCACATCGAGATCCCGATCAAATGTTGCAGACACTATGAGTTTTACAGATTCACTATTGAATTCAAGTGATTTTCAACAATTGCAAAAGAGCTTGGCATCAACAGCGGAACGACAGCCATTAAGTCCGCTGGCGGACTATATGCCAAGCCAACCTAGTATATTAATTACAGCTAGTGCAGATCATGATGCAGACATAGATGAATGGCCATCGACACCAGTGAAGTCGCCGGGACGTCGTGTGCGCCACACAAAACCACCGAATAAACGAGGGGTGAGCCCAACAAGCAGCGATGGTGTTAAACCTTTGCCCACCTCAGATGAGGATAGGGATGTAGACGAGGATAAGACACCGGTCAACAAATCACGTAATAATACTCTGCCTGTTGTACGCATTCAAAATTCATTCTGTTCCACACGTGTTGATGGCTGCGATGTTGTGCCATCTTCCTCCGAATGCGACTTTGGCATCTCTCCGAATCTGGCTCATAGTGTTTCTGTTTCCAATTTGCAACACGTTTCGCCGTTATCGTCGCCACGCAGCTGTTTGTCCTCGCCCCTGCTAGACAGCACAACAAGCTCGGAACGTCGTCTTTTAACCGGTACAAGCTTAGCACGCAGAGTTAATACCTCTCCGGCACCCAGCGACGCGAGCTCCACAAGTGGATTTAACGCAATGCGAAAAGTGGGCAGTGGTACACAGCTGAGTGTAGCACCGCGCAGTATGTCACGCTGTTCCAACTCGAGCGAGTTCAGTCATCGCGATGGCAAATTGCTGCCTTTGAAGGTGACCCACACAAGCCTCTGCTGGGGCAGCACGAAGCTTCGCACAGATGTGCGCAAATCAATGCAAATTAAGAATACAAGTGACAAACGGCTGGTGGTTCGCCTGTGTATACAAGGACCTGGCTTTCAATTGGTCAGCGGTGATAGCAATGCCATCACATTGCAGTCCATGGAATGCCGCAGCATTGGCATCAACTTTTGTCCGACGGTCAGCGGCGCAGCCATTGGAGCACTTAAGTTTTATGCTCCGTTCGGTGCCAACAATTGTCAGCAACCAGGCTTGGAAATTCCTCTATTTGGTTATGGAGGTAACGCCGCGATTACTATACAAGGATTACTAAAAGGACCTGTTGGCGCCAGCTTTCTAACCATTGGCAATGTTTGCGAGCTGTCTTCGGGTCCACTGATGGCTAGCTTTAAGTTCTACAACAGGGGACCGCTGCCAGCCTTTGTAGGCATCGCAATCGATTCGACGGTGTTCTTAAAACCACGTCTGAATGCCGCCTTCGAGGTGCGTCCTAGCAAAGTTATACTTCCTCCTCATAGCGAGGCTGTGGTTCAGGTTGTATTCCGACCAAATCGTGATGACATCAAGAACATTCTCAAGAAGACGTCACAAGTGCTCACATTGGCTAATATGCGGGTTTTTTGTGGTGATGAACCTAATCGACAGCGTATGCGAGCCTTGGTGCAGCGGATGACGGCCGAACAGCGTGAGCAATTAACCTCATCCATGCTGGACAACATCTTGTGCAACTTTCCAAGTGAACAGTCTATACGTAGCATAGCCATGCTAAATGAGCCTCCAGAATTTATACTTGACCTAGTTACTGTGGTTCGCATTATTGATGTAGCTATAACTTTAAATCGTGACTTTGATGAGTCTGCTGAAACATCACATCTTTGTTTGCCGGATGCCGAGGAGACCATTCTATTTCGTACTGTTTGTGCAGCCACTTCTCCAACTCCCAGTCACATGCTAGACCCGGTTGATGAATTACACGAAGTGGATACGACTTCAGCTATGGAACCGCAATCGTTGGAGCGTAACTGGTCCGTGCAACCTGCGACCATTGAGATTGACTTATCCAACAGCGGCGGCTTGGACGGACTTAAGCTATTCATCAAGAACAACTTCAGCTCTCGCCAATATATTGAATTGAATTGCAATGTTCCAGACATATTGCACATTTCTCCAAGTGAATGCTATGTGGCTCCAGATGGTGGCCATGTGGAAGTTCTCGTACGACCATTGCGTACACCGATCCGAGAAATACTTAACAAACAAATGCAAGTCGTTGTCGAGGTATCGATGGAGAGTGAACGCATTAATGTGCCCGTTACTTTTAAAGTCTAAATTTATATAAAGTTTTTTTGGGGCAGTTATCACTTAGCGCCTTGGTTTTATACACATACATATGTTTTAGTTATGAGGTATATTGTATTTTCCTCTCGTTTAAATGGACTAGTTTATTATAAATAAAGAAAATAATTTTGTAGCAAAAACATACATATGACGGACTAATTAAACGGCTCACAGAAACACATTTGAAAAAGGTTTCCGTTAATATTAAATTTATATTTATATATGAAGCATTTTTGTATAAATACATTACATTGTTGAAATATGTTTGTCGTTCATTAATAAACCAAGCATGTGTTGTTTGGTCAGTGGAGCAGTAAAACAGCGGATGCTATTTCGGTATATTTGGTATATTTGTCATATTTTAAGCTGGTTACACTAATCGCATTAACGAAAGCCTATTTTATGGGAGTAATTCAGTTTTAAATATAATAAAAACAATATTAGACTAAGGTTTTTAAAAAGATTTATATTACTTATTGCCATAAGCTGAGGACATGCCTTCCTATGAATTGGCGTTGGTGCTGCGGCAACTTCCACGGGTCTGTATGCAAATAAATAGGTGCACCGGTTATGTAAAGTAAATAAATGTGCGTTTTCTTTTAGCCGGAGTTGATCTCAGTCATCAAACGAACAGCTGAAGCGATCTTCGATAAAGGCGGTATTATTCGAAAATTCGAAAATCTTGGCACACGTGCACTACCCCACAAAGTGAGCGAGCATGGCGTTGTGCACCGAGAAGCAACCCACTTTACGATTATTTTCGATTCGGCGCCCACAAAGTTGTCAGACTTAAGGGAAGAATTTGGAAGAGATATTGACATTATACGCAGAAACATCTTCAAGTTGGAGGAACCCGAGGAACACAAGTGCACATTGCATGAAGAAATGCTGCCACCATCTTATCGGAAGGATGTTCAGGAAATAATTGACATAGCAAAGAGAAAACAGAAACCCAAATACAACTATAACTCAGGATTAGATTATTATCCCTTCCAAAAGTAAATTCTACAATCTTCAAATAAAAGCCGTATATACATGATGAATCGCTAAACACAGTTATGTACCTTGCGATGTTTACAATTTTAAGCATTAAGAACATGATGAAATATTTAGTTTATCAACTAAGTTCATAGTGTCCGTTTTTATTGGTTTTATGGTACACAATTATCGTTATCAGAAATTGATAAACAGGCATAATCAAATCAGGTATAACTTGTAGACTCCACGAATTAATGAATAGTAAGAGTTCAATATTCGATCGTTGAGGCAGACACGGACGTTTTCCAAGAATTAATACATATGGCACCTCAAATTCGCCCCATTTCTGCCGAGCTACAAGCAGTGGCTAAGGAGCGGCTCAACGAGGATCCTGATCGTATTGAAGCAGATCTGGAGGCACTGAAGATTTGGATAGGGCAACAACCACATTTAAATCCACGCACAGACGATCAATTCCTAGTGGCTTTTCTAAGGGGCTGCAAGTACAGCATGGAGAAAACTAAATCTAAATTGGATAAATACTACACGCTGCGAACTAAATATCCTGAATTATTTTGTGTAACGGATGTCGACGATCCCATTTTACGAGAAATTCAGCAATTGGGGTGAGCCGTCTGAAATTTTTCACGAAGGTCATTTGATATACTATAATCTATTGTTTATAGACCCATAGTCTACCTACCCAATACATTCAACGGAGCACGAGTTGGTATATTTAGACTAGGCGTTGCACCAGCTGAAAAATATAAGATAACAGACGTAATGCATGTCGGTCAAGTAATGCAAGAAATAGCTCTTATGGAAGATGACGAAGCAATAATTAATGGCATAGTATTTATCATGGATATGAATGGAGCAACTGCATCGCACCTATTCCAAATGACTCCTGGTCTAGCAAAGAAGATGACTGTGTTTAATGAGGAGGCTTTACCCATGCGACCCAAAGCTCAGCATTTTGTGAATACGATTGCTGGTTTTGAAACCATCTTCAACATGGTGAAGCCCATGATGTCCAAAAAACAACAGGAACGACTCTTCATACATAGCAAGATAGATTCATTATTGGAGCATGTGCCTTTGAAGTATCTACCCAAGGAATATGGTGGCGAAAATGGTTCTATACAAGAGAGCATAGTGGAATGGCAGAAGAAATTTGATCAATACAGAGATTACTTTAAGGAAAATACTAAATTTGGCACCGATGAAAAATTGCGTCCTGGCAACCCAATTGATTTTGATGGCCTCTACGGTACGGAGGGCTCATTTAGAAAACTAAATGTTGATTAATAACGGATTTGATTTTAAAGTTTTAATTGGTAACTATAAAATATGATTTTTAGTGGTTTTGTATAGCGATAAAAGAGATACATTTTACGATTACATTTTTTTCTTGCGTATTCTCACAATGGGCGAATTTTGATTTACTGCAGTATATCGACATATATATCGAATGATAATATGGGAAAACTAACATCTCTAGCCCATGCGACTTTGACATATGAAAAACACAACGTTTATGTTATCATTGCTAATAACAGTAGTGACTGTGCAGCATACTTTTCGGCACCTATGTAATGTCCCGCTCAAGTCTTATTCCATCAATATTTCAAGTTGGAGAACCATTTCATGTTTTTAGGTAACAGTGAATAAAATTTCGAGTCAATCAATTTACATCAAAATTAAATTTTAAAATAGTCTACACCGCTGAAGCTCTAATATCTGCGTGCGCATGTTATTAACATTACGATGTCAATGTTAAAGTCCCTAATCTGTAAATTAACATCCCTGTGTGTCACGACGTATGTGACTTAGACGTATGGAAAAAAGTGTATCACATAACTCTGTCGTTGTATATTTTAATTAATTGAAACGAAATTTTTTTTAAATTGTATGTCGTGTGTCGTACAACTGGCTAAAAGCAGTTGTGGATGCCAGCAGATACGTTGGACTTAACGAATTAATCAGCACACATTGTGTTACATCGATATCTATATACATATATACATATGTGTGCGTAACGAGTATACGATAATTGTGAGCACGCGTTTTGTAGAGTATTTTGCGTTGCAAAGATGCATTCGCTTAATTGGACATCGCGTCTAATATCTCGGGCGTTACGTAGCAGCTTCTCAACATTACTTGACTCCGCGTCGGGTGCCACAACCAAAGGTGCTGCAAAGACAACGCCAATTCGATCTCGGCCACGATTCGTTTCAGTAGTTTGTGGCTTTGCCAAGGACAATCTGCGACACAAATATAAGCCTGGCAAATATGGCGAGGACTCCTGGTTTAAGGCATCCACAGAGTCGGCCGATGTGATGGGCGTGGCCGATGGTGTTGGTGGTTGGCGAAGCTATGGTATCGATCCTGGGGAGTTCTCCTCATTTCTCATGCGTACGTGCGAGCGGCTGGTGCGCTGCACCCACTTTAATCCGCAACGTCCCGTCAACCTGCTTGCCTATAGCTACTGCGAGCTAATGGAGCAAAAGAAACCGATATTGGGCAGCAGTACAGCATGTGTACTCATCCTGAATCGAGAGACGAGCACAGTGCATACAGCGAATATCGGAGACAGTGGTTTTATGGTGGTGCGAGAAGGCGAGATTGTGCACAAGTCAGAGGAACAGCAGCACTACTTTAATACGCCCTTCCAGCTATCCCTGCCCCCGCCAGGTCATGGGCCCAATGTTCTCAGCGACAGCCCCGAATCGGCGGACACAATGAGCTTTCCCGTGCAAGAAGGTGATGTCATATTAATTGCCACTGACGGTGTCTTTGACAATGTACCCGAGGAACTGATGCTTCAAGTGCTACGCGACGTTGAGGGTGAACATGATCCGGTCAAGTTGCAAATGACGGCGAATACGTTGGCACTGATGGCTCGCACCCTCTCCCAAAATAGCGATTTTCTTTCGCCCTTCGCCCTCAGCGCTCGTCGCAACAATATTCAAGCGCGCGGCGGGAAGCCAGACGATATAACCGTGGTGCTCGCCACAGTGGCAATGTGAAACAACTCATAGTTGTCATTGTTGTCCTAATCCCTAGTTCTTAAATGTGTAATTAATTGTAGCGTGTACTCGTTTAGTTTTTAGGAGTCAGTTTGTTCCGGTAGCTATATCCAGATATATGTTTAAGCCGCATGTTGAGATTTTGAGGACAGACACTCAATTGTTAGTTATCCAACCCATATAGACTCACATACTGAGTAATCGACGCATCCTGGTGAAGCGACCCCAAAGCAAAAAAAAAAAATGCGAAGTCCAAAGCGCGTAAGCAATGCCTTGAAATATATATATATTATTAAATATATATACATTATATATAAGTAGAAACGCTTTTAAAACGAAAAAAAAAAGATTATCAGCCGAAATGATCGTTGTCGTCAATGGCAGCGAGTTACGAGAGAGTTCTAATCAATAATAAAATGCGACATACATTACATGCATACAAACAAACAAAATTAATTACGTACGTGCATTCATACATATATACCCCCACACCTCCAATCAATCAAAAGTTGTGGGATGCTATGCTAATATTTGAACTGAGGATTTATCCAGGCAAACTGTCTTACGGACGAACTGTTAGTCAAATGTACTCACTGATATTGCGATTTAATAAAAAATATTCATTGAAATAAAAAAAAAAGAATAATAATAAACGAGTCTTTTATTTTTTTTATAATTAATTTTGCTATTTTCGCAAGCGGTGCAAAGGTCGTTAGAAATTCGTAAAAGCCCTCTTGGATATGCTTTGCATTTGCTATTTCAGCTTGCATGCATATATGTATGTACATACATACATATGAATTTGCAGTTACTTTGAGCAGACGCGCCCCACTACCAAACGATTCGGTTGATTATACTGCGCAGTCCCGTACAGCGCCGATAACATGACTGATACGCACATCCCTAACTTCTTGCGACAGCTGTTGCGCCTGATGCAACGTTAGCCAACACTCAACAACGAATAGCACCACAACAAAAGCCAAAAAACAACGAAGAAGTATTACGAATAGTCTTTTTTTCAGTGCAAATGAAGCCGTAAAATACAAAATTAACATAAAAATGAAACTTTACAAGTTGAACACTCACACAAGGGGGTGCAATAAGTCGTACGGTAAGTGGAGCGGCGCAAAACAATGAAAAAAGCTTTCAATGTGCATTTGTGCAGAGTCGGACTTGGTGCTGAATCCACAGGATCATCCTACAGCTAAAGTTGGAGATGTTGTGGAAATATATGCACCCGACGATGAAAACGGGACGCACTTGTTGCTGCAGATAACTGAGCTGAATGAACAGAGCAAAACGGGTCGCAATGTGATAAGCATAGAGTCAGGCATAGCGACAGCATTTAAGATGCGTTCCTACTCCAATGTCGTAATGCGTATTGTGAACCCCGCGGACGTTGCCCTCGACTCGATAGAGATTACGTTTAAGGAACAGTATATGGGCCGCTCGGAAATGTGGCGACTAAAAACCTATTTGGTGAGTACTGTCTCTCACTAAATACGAATTCTAAATGAACGCAATCATTTATCTCTTGACTGCAGACAAATACCTGTGTGTATGTAAATAAAAAGATTGACTACAATGATATGCAGATACGTTGCCAAGTTTATGAGATGTGGTCGCAGGGCGAGCGAGTAGCCAGTGGCGTTATTACAGACGACACCAAGATTGTTTTTCGCAGCAGCACTTCGATGGTTTATCTATTTCTGCAAATGTCATCGGAAATGTGGGACTTTGATATACATGGGGATTTGTACTTTGAAAAGGCTGTTAATGGCTTCCTCACCGAGCTTTTTCAGAAGTGGAAGAAACTGAGCTGCAACCATGAGGTGACCATTGTGCTCTTCTCTCGCACTTTCTACGCGGCTAAATCCTTAGATGAGTTTCCTGCGCACATGCGCGATTGCTTGCAACAAGACTATAAAGGACGTTATTATGAGGACTTCTATCGGGTGGCCATACAGAACGAGCGCAATGATGATTGGTGCACGGTGTTGGCGCAGTTGCGCAAGCTTTTCACCTCCTACCAGGAGACTGTGCTGCGCTATCATGAGCGTCAGAATATGGTTATACCACAAGCGACCAACTCAACCGCCACACAGGGCAACTTCCTTGAAGTGCTTAATATTTCACTGAATACTTTTGAGAAGCACTATCTGGATCGCACTTTTGATAGAACAGGACAACTGTCTGTTGTGATAACCCCCGGTGTTGGCGTCTTTTCCGTGGACCGAGAACTTACTAACATTACCAAGCAGCGCATTATTGATAATGGCGTTGGCAGCGATCTCGTTTGTGTCGGCGAGCAGCCGCTGCACGCTGTGCCGTTGCTCAAGTTCCATAACAAGGATACATCCATAACATCGGCTGATGACTACTCACTGCCCCATTGGATCAACCTAAGCTTCTACTCGACTAACAAAAAGATAGCATATTCGAGTTTCATACCACGCATCAAGCTGCCCATTTTATCGGTTGTTGATGAAGGCGATGTGGAGGAAAATGAGCGGAATTTTCTTAGCTGCAATCAATCGGAGTATATTTACAACTCTCTTTTTGATTATGATGCATATGATGAGCAAATTTTTCAGCCGCTGCCAGCGCAGAGCACATGGTCAGCTCATTAGTAATTTATATAGTTTCTTCGCACATAACTCCTTGTTTCATTGTAGCTCACTGCAGCGCGTTGTGCGTGCCAAAAAGACATCGGTGCCCAGCTTTGAGACATACGCGAATCGCAACAATGAGTGGGAAAATTTAACGCCCACTAAGATACCCAGCTTAAGGCGGAAAATGTCCGACCCGGATATACATCATGGCACTTCTGGCATGCTGGCCACGTTGACAGATACCGCTAACAATTTGTCCGAATCTTTGGCCTCAGAAAAGAATGCAAGGCGGGCGATTGTGAGCATTGCTCCAATTGTACGCCCTGGTCGTGCATTAATTAACCCCTTCGATCCGTCGCATGTGACCATAAAGTTAACTTCTAATAGACGGCGCTGGACGCATATATTTCCCAAGGGGCCGACGGGCGTGCTTATACAACAGCATCATTATCAAGCGGTGCCTGCTAAAGCCTTGCCTGCTGTCAACTGCAATCGACAGCTGCAGCACTGCAATAGCAACAGTAACAATAGCCATAATAATAATAATAACGAGCAGGAGCTTAGCTCAGCTGCAACCGAGCATTTTGATGAGCTGTCTAATCACTCGCTGTTGAGCCAGACCAGGTCCTTTTGCTCGCAGAGTGAGGAGAAATCTGAATGTAAGTAGACTTTAGGATCTATATACATATTAGTTCTGTTTATTGTCCTGTGCAGTTTTCAAGAGGCGTAATACTTCGCTGTTGAATGCTGCACACGCTGCCAATGTGCCCAACCTGACAGCCACACAGGCCAAATCGTTTTTATGGGGCGCCACAGGGGAGCAGGAGTGGACGCCAGCAATTACGACAGGTATGTTTGTTTAACTCATTTATTTTGGCTACTAATTCAACTGTCATGTGGGACTTACCGAAAGATCTTATCGCGCGGGTGGGTAAGCAAGTCCAACTGCATTCACTTGCAGTTCGATTTGTTCAGCATGTTGAAAATGTTGCTGCTAGTGCAGCTGGCAACTAATGGCACGCGATTGGGTCTATTCTTGGATCGCGTTGGGCGTGCCAATCAGCTTCAATGTCTCTGCCTCGTGCATAGCTCGGATGGAACAAAGCCAGAATTTTTGAATTCACTGCAACTTGATCTGCATTTGGAAAACAACTATTTCAATGCGTTGCCCCAAATCATTTCAACAGAGCTTTCGGACTGGCAATTCAACAGTCTGATAGATCATCAAACGATCTTTGTGATCCTTGCCGCGAATACAACAGATCCGATTATTGATCTGCATGCGGAGCGTGCGCGTGATCGTCGTTTTTGCAAGACATTATTTCTGTTGCGCCAGGATGAGGGAGCAAGAGCCTTAAGAACCTTGTTTGAATACCTATGGCTTAAAGGCTTTCGCTCTGCGTTGGTTATGGTGGGCAGGCAGCGTCTCTACCACATGGATCCCTACCCCACTCTACGTGTGCTGCAACTGAGCTTGACAGAGGACGAGCGAACAATATTTCCACCAGCTGAACGTTCCGATTTTATGGGATACGTACTGCGTGTACCTGTTCAGGTAGATGTTCCAGCGACCTTTTGGTATGCACGCAATGATACTGCATCACGTGAGCTACAGCTAGACGGTGCTGGTGGTACTTTGATACGTGAACTGATGCAACACCTGAACGTGTGTCTGGAGATCTATCCCCTGATCATTAACGGTTCTAATAATATAAACATGTCCGCTCTCGTTTACCTCGTGGCAGAGCATCAGATCGAACTCAGTCCGCATCAGTTTACGACACTGCAACGATCCAAGAAGGTGGACTACTCCTATCCGTATTCTGTGGTACCACGCTGCTTCATGCTGCCTCTGAATGCGCCCTTTCCACGCAGCCTCTATGTGATAAAGCCCTTTCAGCCGGTTGTATGGCTGAGCCTACTTCTGTTGGTGCCTTTGAAGGTTCTGCTGGGATATTTGGTACGACGTTGTACTTGGCATTCCAACTTGAATTTGTGGGCGCTGCTTGGTGTGCCGGGCTGCTTCAAGGGTAGCAATGCCTCCATTTACTGGCCATTCCGGCTGCTCATCTGTGTCACCTTGGTCTTCAGTGCCTTCATCATTGTGCAGCTTTATGTGACCAAGCTGACGTCGTTCTTGACTGTCTTACTTACTGCGCACCCACGGATTACGCTCGCGGAGTTCTTGCAGCTGCCCTATCCCATAGTGGTGTTGCCCAGTGATGTGGACTCGATTATAGAATCATTTGGCAATAATTCGAAGTTGCGGCACAATTTCTATTATATGAATGAAATTGATTTTTATAATACACGCGTGGAGATGAGTGACGGCTTTATTTATCCCATTAGTACGCTTCGCTGGAAATTCTTGAGCCTGCAGCAAAGATACTTAAAGCAAAAGCGGTTCTGGCTTTCCCCGTTTTGCTATGGCACCTTCCCTAGTCAGTTTCAGCTGCGAATCGGATCTCATTTCAAGGAGCCACTGCATCACTTCGAGCTCCACGTCCAGGAGGCTGGCTTGCAAGACAAATGGCGCACCCTCTACTACACCCGTGCCAAGCAGTTGGGCTATGTGCGCGACTTTGCCAGCATTGAGTATTATGAGCGTTTTCAGAAAGTTCGTCCATTGTCACTCAATATGATTTCGTCGATCTGTTATCTATATCTATTTGGGATATTCTCTAGTTTAGTGTGCTTTCTCTTCGAATTTTTTATGTAAATGTAGAAAAACTGCTACTAACTGCATTTTTATTTCGATAAGGCATTTATTGTAATTCTCAACTAATTAACTTATGTATTTTGGATATATCTTTCATTTCTTAACACATTTGATACCGACGAAAATTCAACCAATTTGATTACACTTAACCATATACATATATATGTATATATATAAATATACATATATTTGTTATATGTATTTGATGGCCTATTCACAAATCCTGCTAATCCACCAACATATAACAAATAATAAACTGAACGGCAAACTGCGGCGAAAATTCAAA